GCCTCTTGGCCCAGCTTGCTCCAGGCTGGGGGGGGGTCTGTCAGCAGGTCTTGCTGCTGCCCCCTAATGCTCTGCCTCTCCCCCACCCCCCGCTCCTTTACATCGGGGTGAGTTGGGAGCAGCTGCCCAGACATCAAGGCGGGAGGCAGGGCTGCCAAAAGGGGGGGCAGTGGAGAATCTGCTGGGAGGATTCCCCCGGACGCTTATCTCCCTTAGCTTTCCATGGTCCCACCCACCCCGCACTCTGCGCCAGCCCTTGGCACGTGCTCCCCTTATCTGCCCAACACCTCTGCTATCTCAGGGAGTGAGGGTTTAGGCTTATCTACACTTCCTGAGATAGGAAAATGGCAGCAGGTGACAGGCAGGAGTCTCCTGGGGAAGCAGATGTTGGCAGGTCTCCACGTGTCCTTCTCCTCTTCCCTCCCTGTTCATGTCTCTGGTGCCCCACCCAGTTCTGGGGTGACCCGGGCAGAGTTGTGTCCCCTTTCGGGGTTAAATGGCCTCTCCCGTCTCTGGCTCATGCAACACTTGTGCCTGGGCCACCCCCTCTAAACTAACTGCGTATTGGCTGCTTTGCTGACAGGCGGGTGCCACCGTGGGGGGTGACTAATGTGGTATCACTGGAAGTCTGGTACAAGGCCAGGGTTGCCTGGGTGATTCCGGGGTTGTATTGCCACAGGTTGTGCTGTAAACATGTTCCCTCTGCAATGTATTTAACTGGCTGCTACAAGCACCAGGATTCATGATGGCAGGAGACGCTTCTTTACCTGTTTTCCCCTGCCAGGCAGGATTCCAGTCAGTTTCCTGCTCTGGTGCTATTGGGTATGTCTCGGCTGCACAGTTAACCCACGCTCTTGCCTGAGTTTTAGTCTTAACTCCCCTAGTGTCCACACAGGAAAACCTCTGAGCCAGGTTTGGAGGTGCTGTAAGCCTAGCCCAGTTGACTCCTCTGTGGGTGTGAGTTGGAATCCAGGCTCTGCTTTTAACTTGGGCTGGAACCCACCCGCTTTGCAGTAAGTACACAGGTTAAATCACCGGAGAGCGGGTAGTCCTCCAACGCCTTTCCACAATTCTCCCCAAAGGACAGACGGTCTCCCACAATTGTCAGGGAAAGAATCCTAGAGCATCTCAGCACACAGAGCCGGGGCTTTGCCTCCAGACAGAGACAAGCGAGTGCAGAACCGGTAAGGACACAGTAACGTGGGCAGGGTGTTGCCATGGGGACACTCACCCATGCTACGCCAACCCAAGCGTTCAGACCCAGCTGCCAATCACACAGGTTAACGGTGCAGTATAGACACAGCCGTTGTGTACTCTGGTCTCATTTTCGGGGGCTGAGCAAAGTTCTGACTCTTGATAGTTACAACTGAAAGAATATTGAGACTCTAGCTTTATAAAATAAAAATATTTATTAAACACCAAAGGAATACAAACGGGGAATTGTCCACAGTCTTAACAACATGATGTGTACGATGGTGTCTTTGATTTGATTACATCAGATCTAACAAATCTAAATCTCTTTAAAGTAACTCAGCCTTCCCTTCTCCTAAAAAATATAGGCACGTCTGAATCCCAGCATTCAGGAGATTTCAATATGTCATTGCTGTGGGTTTGTAACAGATGTGGACAGCGCAAAACAAAGCGTCTTGGAAATTCTCATTCCAATAGTTCCAGAGCTTATCATATTGACTTCCTGAATTTCCTCCTTCATGTGTTGAATAAAACAGTCTTACAAAAATGATTCAGATTTTGTTCCAGCTTCTGTAGTTGAAAACATAATATCTAAAGATCTGTATGGGAGAGTTGTCAGGAATCCAGCATGCCAAAGGGGCAGTTTTTTTGGTCACGTCTGTTTTCAAGAATGTCACTCAGTTTGTACAGGGAAAAAATAGGCTGGTTAGTTTCACGTGTTTGTCATTTTCACTCTTCCTTGCCTCTCCCCTAGGCTGCTGTTGCAAGGCTGGGCTACCAGGGAAGGTTTTAAATCCAAACAAAATACTACTTCCAGTGCAATTATAACCAAACAAAACACAGAAATATTTCTCTTCATCCAAGGTTTTGTCACATCTTCTTGAGGTTTGTCACAGCTAAATCAGTCTCTGTGAAGCTTTAGAAGGAAAAGCAACTGAATTGTTGGTGTCTGTGCAGGCTTTGAGTGTCTACCAAACTTATTTCCGTTGCAGGGTTGAACTCGGAGGTAGTCAGAGGTAAAGGATTTGCAGCAATAGCTTCATATTTCAGGTTTCAGAGTAGCAGCCGTGTTAGTCTGTATCCGCAAAAAGAACAGGAGTACTTGTGGCACCTCAGAGACTAACAAATTTATTAGCGCATAAGCTTTCGTGGACTACAGCCCATATGCATCCGAAGAAGTGGGCTGTAGTCCACGAAAGCTTATGCTCTAATAAATTTGTTAGTCTCTAAGGTGCCACAAGTACTCCTGTTCTTTCTTCATATTTCCCTTTATCTTCAGCCCATGTCATGTGACAATGTTCTTTGCTGCTTCCAGACTGGAAAGCCTGATATGTGACTGCCTTGATCTGAGTCAGGCTCTACCTCGGTCAAGACTGAGCATTGCCCATGGCGAATTGTAATAATAATAATTAATGGAGATATCCCATCTCCTAGAATGGACCTTGAAAGGTCATTGAGTCCAGCCCCCAGCCTTCACAAGTACTGATTGTGGCCCCCTCAAGGATTGAACTCACAACCCTGGGTTTAGCAGGCCAATGCTCAAACCACTGAGCTATCCCTCCCCCCATCATAGCATCAGAGGATCGCACCTCTGTATTAAAGTGGTCATGGCTACGCTTGGTTTACAGGCCGAACTTGGACCATCCCTGTGCTACTTACTGCCACTAATTCATCTTTCATGGCCTTTGCTTTCTCCTGGCATACTTCTCCCCAAACCCACTCCTGGGTCAACATCTTTTCTCTCTCCAGTACGTGGGCTCCTCCCCCTTTGGCTTTTGGTGGGTTGTTTTCTTCTTACTGCTGCTGGGAAATATTGCTGAGGTGGAGAATTTAATGCCAGACTGGGCCTGGGAAATTACAGCACCCAGGGTAATCTGCAGCTACCTGTTGAAGCATGCACTGTGCTGACAAAACAAACCTGCCCAGCCTCTGCCCCCCTGTACTTTGAACTCTTCTAAAAGCAGGAGTTGCGGTGTCGATCCATCACTCCCATGTGGAAGCTGCTGCGTTCTGCAGCAGAGAGCCTCCCACCGTGCTGGGATGTTGGTTCAAGAGCAACTCCGATGGAATAAAGCCTCCTACTGAATTGTCAGCCCCACTTCCTGCATCAGTCTTCCCTCCTTGGAAGTCTCCTGTCTACGGTTTAACTTTATATTTTCTGGCAGAAACTGTTCTTGTGTCCCCGCGTGCATGGTCTTCTTTCGGTTTATCTTGGGTCTCATGTGGGACTAGTTAAGCTGCATTGGAGGTGGTGTAACTCTGTCCTGATAGGAATTACATTGCTGAAGGGTTTGTGTGGGCACAGCCCCGTGTTGGTGTAACTACACTATTACAGTTAGTCCTCCCGTTGGCATCCCACGGTGCATTGGTTCACGCCTGGCCTGGCCTGCCTGGTTATCTATGTGTACTCCGCTGCTCCGGGAGTATCCAGACAGGATGTCCCACCCCTGTTCAGATACCACTGACGCATCAGGGGTACGCAGAGGTCTTCCTGGGGGTACATCAACTCATCTAGAGAGTTGCCCAGTTTTACAACAGGCTACATAAATAGCGCTAGTGAAGTCAGTACAAACTAAAATTTCCTACAGACGATGACTTGTTTATACGGCTCTATAGACTAGACACTGAAATGTCAGTACAATATTTATATTCCAATCGATTTATTTTATAATTATATGGTAAAAATGAGAGAGTAAAAGCAATTTTTCAGTAATAGTGAGGCTGTGACACTTTTGTATTTTTACGTCTGGTTTTTGTAAGCAAGTCGTTTTTAAGGGAAGTGAAACTTGGGGTACACAAGACAAATCCGACTCCTGAAAGGGGCACCGTAGTCTGGAAAGGTTGAGCACCACTGAGCTACGCCAATGGGAGAGCCCCTCCCATCGGTGTAGCTAGTGTCTACACTGCAGCTGTGCCGTTGTAGCGTTTTAAGTGTAACCGAGCCCTCAGACAGGTGGATTAACGACGACGGAAAAACACCTTCCGTTACTATAGGAAGCGTCTGCAGTGCTTGTAGTGTAGACAGCCGACGGCACCTAAGTAACTTAGGTTCTTTTGAAAATTCTGCCCTGAGTCAGTTTCAGAAAGTAGTTTCAACCCCCAACACCAGTCCTCTGGCCAAATCTTGTGGCTTTACCATCACATTGTCCCGTTCTTTCAAAATGGCTTTTCTCTCCCCTGTTGTTGCGTGAAAGATCCACACCACACACGGGAAGCTGACTAGGCAGTGAAACTGCCTACCCACAAAGTGCCCTCAAATGTACACAGTAAACAAACTGGGGAAAAGAGAGGGAAATTATTATTTATTTGTCATTGCACCTAGGACCCCAATGTGCTAGGAGCTGTACAATCACAGAACAACAACAACAACAAACTTCTCCCAACCTCTTTCAGCTCTAGCCACCTTAGTGGTTCCTTGGAGCAAAAAAAACGTTCAGCGGGAAATGTGATCTTTAAGCGGACTGTCTGGTATAGTGCGTACCGCTGACAATAAGGAATGAAACTCCGCAGCAATGCCTCCGTGGACGCCTGTCTCACTTCACCGGCCAGGACAGCTGCGGTATAGATGGAATGAAGAAGACACTGGCTTCTCAGTGTGTCTCTCTCTTTCCCTTCCCAGGCTGCGATGGCAACACCGTATAGCTGTAGAGGTGACCAACGAACCCATTCTGGAGTTCAAGCACGGCAGCCCGGAACGAGCAGCTCTTCAGAAGGTACTGTCCTGAGTTGCTTGTTGCAGCCAAGAAACCAGGGCTCTTCTTCCCCTAGTGCGGCGTGTGATCTTCCAGCCTCACTCTAAAGTGGCTGAGTCTTTAGCTGAAGTGGTAGGACACCCTTCCCAACCCCTGATGGTTACCCTCTTGGGGAGAAGCCTTTCACCCACCCCACCCTTGTTACCCCTCCCTTAACCCTGCAGATGGCCCCCATAACACGGGGATGTTCTCAGTCTGAACAGAGCTCGGTACTGGAGAAGTCCAAGGTTTCCTTTCCCTGGGACGTGAGCACAGTGCTGGTCTGGCAGGCAGGTTCTAGAGGGACTCGGACATGGACCTTTGGCAGGGCTGTGGGTAGGACCATCAGGTCACCCGGTTTGAGAGTGTGGTGGTGGAGGAAGGCGGATCAAAGCCACGGCTGGCTGAATATCCTTTCTATCCCTGGGGGCTGCCTTCTGTTCAGCAGAGGGGGAGCTGCCAGGCTCTCACCAGTTCATTTTTGTTCTGACTCATCCGATAGGCGCTAAACGATCTGAAGGGCAAGACGGAGGCCATCCCGTGCGTGGTGGGGGGAGAAGAGGTGTGGACATCAGACGTCCGGTACCAGTTGTCGGTGAGTCCCAGTGGGGAGCGCCTGGTTGCTAGGTGACCACTCCACGGCCTGGCAGAGCCCTGGGAACCTGCGAGGAACCTTTCTGACACGACAGGGGGAAATCCCCGTGTGGGGCAGTTTTAGTCCCTTCCTGGAAGACATTCCCCCTCCCCAGGGATTGCTCTAGCTCATTCACGTATTTCTCCCTCTGGGGTGTAGTTCTACCTAGTGTCCTTGTTAACCGTTGCCTTGTAGCAAACCGGCCCATTACAGACACGAGGGCCCTTTCCCGGAGACTTACGAAAGGTGAGCTGCCTTAGCCAGGAGCTGGGTAGTGGACGGATCTTTGGGGAAGTCCCTCATGGGATTTGCCAGACTGGCTCAGACCCACAGCACCGAATCCTGTCTCTAACAATGGCTGGTTCCAGCTTAGGAGGAAGGTGTAGGAGCCCTGCCGTAAGGAGATGGGGGGGATAATGTGCCCCCCTCCTCCCCCCGCCCCCACATTGGTCTCTTCCTGATCTCTGGGCTACCTCATTCCCTAGAGGAAGCCACCCTTCCTGGGACCAGAAAGCACCACCTGGAAATTGCAGTCTAAGCTGTTTCCCCAAACTGTCTAGGGGCCAGCGCTGACCATCAGATTGCCAGCAGATTGAGGGAAATGATTATTCCCCCCTATTCGGCACTGGTGAGGCCACCTGGAGTATTGCGTCCAGTTTTGGGCCCCCCACTACAGAAAGGATGTGGACAAATTGGAGAGAGTCCAGCGGAGGGCAACAAAAATGAATAGGGGCCTGGGGCATGTGACTTATGAGGAGAGGCTGAGGGAACTGGAGTTATTTAGTCTGCAGAAGAGAAGAGTGAGGGGGGATTTGATAGCAGCCTTCAACTACCTGAAGGAGGGTTCCAAAGAGGATGGAGCTCGGCTGTTCTCAGTGGTATCAGACGACAGAACAAGGAGTAATGGTCTCAAGTTGCAGTGGGGGAGGTCCAGGTTGGATATTAGGAAAATCTATTTCACTAGGAGGGTGGTGAAGCACTGGAATGGGCTACCTAGGGAGATGGTGGAATCTCCATCCTTAGAGGTTTTCAAGGCCTGGCTTGACAAAGCCCTGGCTGGAATGATTTAGTTGGTGTTGGTCCTGCTTTGACCGGGGTTGGAGTAGATACCTCATGAGGTCCCTTCCAACCCTGATAGTGTATGATTCTATGATCCTCTCTGGGTAGGGTAGACCAGGGCTGGTGCACACGATTCGGTCCCTGTCCACACAGGCAAAACCAAAGCACATTGCACATGAGTGTCCCAAACGTGGGTCATTGATGCGGGACTCAGGCATCTGGGTGAACCCAGCAGAAGGTGAATGGTGGAGGTTGCTTTGGAGCAGGGTGGGTCCCTGGGGCTGGTTACACACCTTCTCTGCCTGGGTTTGAGCCCATGTCACCCCATGTGAATGGGGGACTGTTCTGTATGCAGAGGTGTTGTGGGGGGAGGGCAGAGGGTGTGTGTGGAGGTTGGGGGGGAGGGGGGAGGGCGGCTCTTTACAGCATTAATCACCCTAGGCTCTCCTCTTTTCAGCCGTTCAATCACTCGCACAAGGTGGCCAAGTTCTGCTATGCAGACAAGGTGAGTGTGGCGCATGGTTGTGCCCAGACCTCCCTCCCTGCGCCTGACCTGCAGGGGGCAGGCTTGAGGGCGCTTGGTCATGGGACACCGAGCTGTCCTTTGCCGGTGACAGACTAAACCTAGGGAGGGTTCCCCAGAGCCTGCAGGGGAAAGTGACACTTATCCCCTCTGCTTTAATGCGGCTGAGATCCTAACACGGGGCAGCGCTGTGGGCCTCTGGCTTGCTTGCTGCGGGCGCTTTAAACAGCGTAACCTAGGAGAGCGCCTCACGCTGTGTCCGCAGCCGCTGGGCCTGCGCCCTGCACAGATCCAGCCGCACCTCCGTCAGGATTCAGCGCCCCCGCTCCTTGCTAGTGCAGCTGGGGGAGAGTGGGGCGTAGCTGCTTGAAATGAATGCGGGCGTGAAAGCCGGTGCTACGATCCAGCCGCTGAGTCGAGTCGTGTAGGGGGCTCGCTGCAGGAAGTGGGGGAGGCGACACCGTAGCGGGTGGTCTTCCCTCAGATACTAAATCCGGCCCCGCCGGATACTAAATGAATTGTAAAACCTAGGCCCACAGTCACAACCCATCCTTGAATGGGGCGTCCTGGCCAGATCCCAACTTGGGTTGTTATGTAGGCAGAACGCAAATTTCCCTAGAGGTTTCAGCTGGACGTGGGAATCTTCTCCCCTTCCTGCCCTAAAATGGTTACATGGTATTAGACAGCTGCTGCCTTCCAGGCCAGAGGTGGTTGCATTACACTAGTGGCTGAAGAGACCCCTGATCTTTAGTCCTTCCCTACCTCGCCCTGGGATTGGGCAGCTTGGGGGATGTTTGAAATCCCTATCAGAACATACAGAAGTGGTATTTATTTAGTGTTGTAACCATTAGCAGGGAAACTGGAAAATCCTCTTGAGTCTGACCTGCCCGCCTGAGCGGTTCTTGACCCCCTGGTGTTCAGAGTCCTGGCGTAATTCCAAGCTCACAACTATGGCCTGCAGCAAAGTCTTTGGGTTATTGCCGGGACCGCATATGTAGCGGAGTTGGGGTGGGGCTGGTTCTTCACCCCCGCAGCCGCTGATCTGAGCCATGAAGCTGCCGCAAGCCCTGGGGTGGGGCTGGGGGACTGAGATTCTGAGAAGCGCTAATCTGGTGCGCTTCCATCTTCTGCTCCTTAGGACTTGCTTAACAAAGCAATCAATGCCGCCATGGCCGTGCGGAAGGAATGGGACCTGAAACCCATCCAGGACAGGGCACAGATCTTCTTCAAGGCGGCCGACATGCTGAGCGGCCCAAGGCGAGCGGAAATGCTGGCCAAAACCATGATTGGGCAGGTAAGGCTGCAGGTGGAATGGTCCCCAGAGAACCTGCTGGGACAAACCATAATGATTGGAGGGGGGTGGGGGGAAGGTGGCAGGGAGAGCCGGGGGGAAGTGGCACAAATATGAGAGACATCTGTGATTCAGTGAGAACGTGGTGTAGCCTGAGTTCTTCCTTTGCGGCTGGAGCCGTGCGTCCGTCCGCTTCTGCTGGGAACGTTGCCCGGCTGTTTTCTAGCAGGCCCCTCCCTGCACCTAGAGAGCTGCGGGGGGTGTGTGTGTCTTTTTAATGGAGCGGATGTGCGGGCGCTTATCTCTGTCCCTTCCCACGTAGCAGGAGGTGGTTATAATGCCAAGGGTAGGGAGACGGGGCTGTGAGTGGAGTGGAAATACCCAGGAAGTGTGAGGTGAGCAGCTGATTGGGCTCTGGGTCCGCTTTCAGCGCCATGTTAGTGTCGCGTCAGCAGCAAAACTTCCTGGGTGAGACAGTGGGTGAAACAGGGGAGGGGACGTCCAGGGTGGGGGTGCTCAGGAGCGGCCAGTGAGACCCACAATTGGGGGGTTAGATTCTAGCAGGAGCCTGATTTCCCCCTTCGCTTTTGCTGCAAGAAGGGGCTGTATGAATCCTGCAGGGCATCTGGCAGGGATCTGTCTTGATGCACCCGCTTCGGCGCATGGATGGTGTCTTCAAACAAAGGAGCCCCCCACCCTCCAAAGACAAGTTTACCCTCCCCCCAAAAACCCTGCGGGAAAAGAGGGGCCTTGTTCTGTTCTCTAAATCGCGACGGACTCCTGTTGTGTTGACCCAGCGAGGGAAGCAGACCCCAGAGCTGAAGGCCCTTCGCTGAGTGCCCCCAGCCCTTTAAATCTGCTACCTTGAGTGCTTCAGTTGGTCCCTGTCACTTCAGCAACATGTGGGGCCGGGAAATGGGTCACTAGGATAGCATGGGGCCCAGGCTCGTAGATCAGACAGCACTGTGAGAGGCTAGGAAGGGCCATGCATGGAGGGAAAGAGAATTAACTCATGTATGATGCCTGGCCTGGCATTGCTGAAATGGACTGAGGGAGCAGCAAGGGGCTGTTGGAGAAAATTTGTGGCAAGGAGAGGAAAAAAGGGGATTTCCTGGGCGCTGATGTAGCCAGTGCACTCCTAGCAGTTACAGTGATCGGGTCTGGTTGTTGTTCATTGCACAGGATGTTGCGTGAAACAGACATCATTCTGTGCAGGGCTGGTGACTAACTGGTGTGCCAGCGCCGTGAGGGACACCTGGGTTTGATTCCCACCCCTGATCTTTCGCCCTGTGCAGGGGGTGGGGGGTAGGTCAGGACTCTGCCAGGGAGAGGGAGGGGAAAGATACTAACAAACCCAGTCTGAGTCTGGGAGTCCGGCTTTCCTGCTGGTCGTCACCCACCCAGTGAGAGCAAGGGGGAGAGGCAGCATGGGGCAATGTAGCTTGAAAGAAGCCAAGGCCCTGTGTCCGTCAGCCCCTAGGGAGAAAGCCAGGCAGGAGTGTGTTTCGGGGCTGCCTGAGTGCCGCTGATCTCTCCCGTTCCCCTTTCAGGGCAAAACCGTCATGCAGGCGGAAATCGACGCAGCCGCGGAGCTGATCGATTTCTTCCGATTCAATGCCAAGTATGCGCTGGAGCTGGAGAACTCTCAGCCCGTCAGCATCCCCATCAGCACCAACAGCATGGTCTACCGGGGGCTGGAGGTGAGGGGAAGGGTGGGGTGGGGTGGCGTGGCTCAGACATGCGCATCCAAGGTGCGGGGGGGGAGGGGGGGGCGTGAGACATCCCGGCTCAGACCAGATGCTCTCCCTGCGCGTCGCGAGCTGCGGCGGGACGTTTTTCCACGCTCCTGCGGCCTCCATTGGGGTGTGCACATTACACTGTGTAAATTCTCCCTTTCCCCCCCACGCCCGCAGGGCTTTGTGGCAGCTGTTTCGCCCTTTAACTTCACTGCGATTGGCGGGAACCTGGCAGGGGCTCCGGCTTTGATGGTGAGTGTGGAGGAGGGCGCGTGGGTTTTCTTTACGCAACGCTGGGGTTTTGGATTAAACGGCTCTTTGCCCAATGAATCGGCCCCGTGTGCTACCCACAGGGATAGCTGAGCAACCAACACTCCACAATCAGGAAAGAAATTTGCTTTAATGGAACGCTAAGGTTGCAATTTCAAACACCCCAATGCTAGGAAATGCAAACATCAAAGTACTCCTAGTAAATTGCACCCCCCATTCCAGTATCCTGTCTCGGACGTTACCAGATGGGGGTAGGAAACCCTGTAATGGACAACTATGGCATCAGCTGTCTGTAGGGGACGCTTCTTCCTGACCCCCACCAGCTAGTGATTATCTCATGCCCTGAAGCATGAGGGTTTGTTTGCCTTTTATTCTTATTCAAGCCTCCCCATATGGATAATGGGTTACATTAAATGCCCCCCCCTCCAAAAAAAAGTCTTGCTAAGCTCTTGGCTTCAATGACATACTGTGGCAGTGAGTTCCACCGGCTAGCTATGCATTGTGCAAAAATGTATTTCATCTGTTTTAAATCTGTTGCCCTTGACCGTCCCTTTGTTCTTTTATTATTAGAGAAGGTAGGTAGGTGCGCCCAGTTTACCTTGTATATTCCTAGCGTGGCTGGGGTAGAGCCTCTGCTACAGCGGGCATTTATATTGGCAGCCTTCGTGCTGCCCCCTCGCTGAGCATTGCCCGTGGAAAGGTTGGCGTGAGTACTCTGCCCCCTAATCAGCGTCTGCTGTAGAGCAGTGGCTGCATTACGAGACTGTGAAATTAACATGTTAATGAGGCTGCTGATTTCACAGTCGGGCAGTGTTACACCGGCGCTTGGGTGAGATCAGGCTGATACGGTGGGCTTTGGGTGAGCAGACAGGCTTTCTTAGCACCGAAGTGCAGCGAGCTGTTACCTGGTAGCCTCGGCATGAGGCGGGATATACCAGGGTTTTCCTAACAGCTGGATTGTGTGGGGGTGGAGGAAAGGCAGAAGAGGGAGTGGGTCAGAACAATAAAACCGCTGCAGTTTTGTGATGCTGGGTTGGCCTGGAATTCCAGCCTTGCTGTAGCCTCCTGGATATGCTTACAAAAGAAAGGGGGTGGGGGAAAGAGAGAGAAGTATTAGTGTCTAGTGTCTCTCCTGCACTGAGATCTGCCTGACGCAGGGTTGGCGGGGATCAAGGAACGCCTCCCTGATTCCTCCTGGCGCATTTGCACGTGCCCCTGCCCATCGGTGTAAACTAGACCAGCCTAGGGGCTGCTCTAGTTTATGCCAGCTGCGAGTTGGTGTGGCTTGCGCTGCCACCTGTGCTTTGGGAGTGAGGGGGAAGTTTGGTGTAGGTGCCAGCTATGCCACCTGCGAGCTCCCTTATGCTGGATAATTCTCAGCTGGCCTGATTTCACCACTTTGTGCTGCTTGGCCTGGTCCAAACAGGAGGAGGGATTCGGGGCCAGTATTTGCAGTGTTTCTAACTAAGCCCTAGCCTGCCCTAAACTAGCCAGTGTCTGTGTTGAGTTAACCCAGATTTCCCATCGAACACGGCCAAAGGACTACAGAGTCCGGGTCAGACGTGACCAGTGATTTTGGTTGCTTCCATTGTTGGGTGCTCAATTTGAAATGCCACCTGATCTATTGATTTCAAGTGCTAAGCACCTGCCCCGGGAAAATCTTTAAGGTGTCTCCCAGGACGGACACCTACAAATTGAGTGTGCCCTATCCAAAATCAATAGTCCCTCTTGAAAATTTAGGCCCCTTGGAAACAGTCTCTGACCCCACCTCCCTTGCAGTAAAATGTCACATTAGTAGCTGCCAAGACTTTCCCTGCTCTCGTTGATATAAACGGATGTAACCCTCTTTGCTGAACGGCCCCATTCAGCCCGGACGCTGCAAACTTTAAAATGTCATTTTGCTTCGGTACGATGCCAACACGTCTGCAAAAATAAAAATGGGCATCGCTGCTTAATGAAGTTCGGGTGTTGGGGCTAAAGGGGTGACGCTGATGATGGGGTATTGCAGTCACCATGACGCATGGTAGGGCAGGCGGGTTGTGTTGGGCGTGTCCATACAGGGAAATTCCACGGCATAGCTTTCTGTGGCAGCTGTGCCAGTCTAACTGCCCTATGTGGGCACTCTGTTGTGCCCTAAAAGTGACTCTATTCAGGAATAATTACTCCTCTCTGGAATTGTTGCGGAACAGTGTCTGGGCCGGGAGTTGTACCAGCATAGCTGTAATGGAATAATTCTGTGATAGCGACGCTGGTCAATTTCCCTGCGTAGACAAGCCCTCAGATTCTTGATTTCCTGAGGACCTAGGTGAGGCAGAGACGGATTAAGGTTTCGTGGGGTCCTGGGCCAGAGCAAGTGGGGAGCCCCTCCCCACCCCTTCTGCCTACAATCCCACCCCCGTTCCGCCCCTTACCTGCAGCCCTGCCCTGTTCCACCCACAATCTGCCCCATTCTGCCCCCCTGTGTGGCTCTGCAACCTGTTTGCTCCTTTCTGCCTCCCCCCCCCCCCCCCCCAACCTGCAGCCTCATGACTGGAGAAGCTCTGCCCCCCCCCTTCCCCCCTCGGCCACAGTGGGGAGTGAGAGCTTCCCCAGCCCTGCTGCTTCGGCAGGGAGCTGGGGTTGCAGCCGGGTTCGGGGCGCTGGGCTTCCCTCATTGCCCAGCACTTCTGCCAGGGAGCGGGGTTGGGGTGCACCCATTTTTTCTGGCCCCCCCCCCCCAATTGGCCGGGGCCCCTGCACACGGGCCCCGTCAGCCCATTGGCTAATCTGCCACGGAGGTGAGGCGCTCACTGGACTGTAATTATTGAGACTTTCCTTATTTATTTTTGTATTTATTTAAAGATAGGGCCAAGTGTGTAATGCAATGAGCGTTTCCACTGAATAAGGCAGGCCAAATGGGGCTCCATGCTAGTGACTTTGGGCTTTGGCTCAGGAGAGGGTCAGGAGAGCAGAGGAGAAATCTCCTCTGATCGTCCAAAGAAGAAGGTGTTTATAATCATGGAAAGGGAGGAAGACTAAGAAGGGACATACGGGGCTGTCTTTTTGTTCCGTGTTTGTATGCCACCTGCTCCAGGACTGGGGCTCTGTGGGGCTGCAGCCACCCCCATAATAAATAAATTCTGGCTCCTGGTCTAGGAAACGTACTGGCCATGGAATGAGGTGGTGTTTGGGAGTTCACCGAGTAAGTAATGGACCATGATATGCGGGCAGTGCCTTCCAGGGTGTAACCCCAAGTGCGGATGAGGGGAAGCCCCTGGATATAATGTACCCAGATTTCAGCTTTCGGTAAAGCTCCCTGCAGGCCACTGAATGAGCTCAAAAATACCGGCAGCAACGGGAGAGGGCCCGAAAGTCACAATAGTGCTAAACTGCATTTTTGAAGTCTTCCAGCCGAAAGGATCCCAAAGCGGTTCATCAACTGATGTACGTACCACACGTTGGCACTGCCTGCCGCTGAAGTGCAGCCACCTCTGGGGCAGAGCACGACAGCTGTTAAGCAGGGCACACAGCCGCTTACAGCTGGATGGGAAGAATACTGTGCCCAAGTAGAAGTGCAGCGGGGATCGAGAGAGGCAAATGGAATTTGGACCAGGGCACCCGGTTTAACTTTTCTGCTCTTATGAAAAGTGACCTGGCATGTTTATGGAGGGGATGGTATGATCGGATAGCCTAATTTGGCAATTAATTGATCTTTGATTATTAGCAGGTAAATATGCCCAATGGTCTGTGATGGGATGTTAGCTGGGGTGGGATCTGAGTTACTACAGAGAATTCTTTCCTGGGTGTCTGGCTGGTGAGTCTTGCCCACATGCTCAGGGTTTAGCTGATCGCCATATTTGGGTCGGGAAGGAATTTTCCTCCAGGGCAGATTGGCAGAGGCCCTGGGGGGTTTTCGCCTTCCTCTGCAACATGGGGCACGGGTCGCTTGCTGTAGGATTCTCTGCACCTTGAGGTCTTTAAACCACGATTTGAGGACTTCAATAGCTCAGACATAGGTCAGGGGTTTGTTACAGGAGTAGGTGGGTGAGATTCTGTGGCCTGCGTTGTGCAGGAGGTCAGATTAGATGATCATAATGGTCCCTTCTGACCTTAAAGTCTATGGGTCTATCTCTAATGACCAGAACCTCAGACTCTAAACTCCGTATGGAAGACGGTGCCTCCAGCAGCACCGCATCCTCTACTGGAGCTGGAGGGGATTGATTTACGAGGAAAAACAACCAAACGTTTTGCTCTTTTAAAGTGACGACGAAGGTGGGGGGGACACACCTACAAATGCGGAGGGTGTAAACCCCAAGGGGGGAGAGTGAGTGAGGCATAACTAAGAGGATACTCAGACTGTCAGCTCTTTGGGGCAGGGGCCATCTTTGTTGTGGTAGGTGTTGTACCATCAAAGGGTCCATGTCTAGGGGCCCTAGGTGCTCCGGTGATATAAATAATAGCAATGTTAAGAGAGGAGGAACAGGGGGATCCTTCTGGTGGGGCGAGCTGTTTGGTTGTGGGATAGAAACCTCATCCCTTGGGCCATTCAGAGCTAATCCGGTACATAGGGGACAATTCTGGTGAGCTACGTGGTGGCAGATTGGACCTGGCAGGTCTGATCCGTCCCTAACAGCTGGCAGTCTCCCTGTTTTCTGGTCTCTTTCCTTGTGTCTGCTTTTCACTTGAGGACAGACCCCAGCAGAGGTGCTGCATGTCAGGGTCTCTGCTTCCATTTAATAGGGGAAGCTGAGATCTTCTCTGCCCCTGGTGCTGGGCTGCTAAAGGGGAGATGGAGGAGGGGTCGCGTGGCTCCTGGTATCGGAGAAGTGGCCAATTTGCCAAGCCTACGTCCCTGCTTTGTGCACCTGGAATTAAAATGGAGAGTTGCGGGCCAACTCTTTATAATGAGTGGACGTTAATTAGCATCCTGGTAATTAGTGCTTTAGTAATTTACAGTGGAATTCCCATGGGATTAAATATCTCGGCCGCATGACTAGCTGGAGAGATCAAGACGATTAATGTGGGAGAAGGATTTCGTAGGAGCAGAGCTTTTGCCACATCAGAACAGACCAGCAGCCTGGCTCCTTGCTCTCTTGTCCCTGACTGTGGCCTGTATTGGATTTCACAGGGACTTCAACATTTTGCTGAGTGTGATGTAGTTTTCCCACCACTCGGAGTGGAAGAAAGCGGGAAGAGGAGGGGAGGGTTTGTGTCGAGAGGCTCAAGAACTGAACGTCCAGTCCAGATGGACAAATGTTTACGGCCCCTAGTCCCCCCACTTGCTTTCCATCTGCTATGACTGTTGTGTCTTGGTTCGCGACACCACTGCACTGCTGTGAGCTTCCCCGTAGCTCGCCCCTCAAGGGGCTGGCGTAGTGGGCGTAGCACAGAACTGGGTGGAACCTTTCAAACCTGGGAGCTCCCCTGGCTTCAGCCTCTTACGAACGGGAGTCATATGATGAGGGAAAGGTGCAGCACCAGGAGAGGATTAAGGGATCCCTGCTGGTCACATGGCTGCTTGGGGCCGAGTATAAAAGGAAGGGGAAGATGGGTCAAAGGGAAACTAAGAGGTAGGATGTGTCCTCTTCCCTCCATGCTGGCTGAAGGGGGGACAGGGGGGACACCTCTCTAGGAATTATTGCCCAGTGTCTTTCAGTTGATTCACCCTCTTCTGTGGACAATATATAGAGATATACCTATCTCCTAGAACTGGAAGGGACCCTGAAAGGTCATCAAGTCCAGCCCCCTGCCTTCACTAGCAGGACCAAGTACTGATTTTGCCCCAGATCCCTAAGTGGCCCCCTCAAGGATTGAACTCCCACCCTGGGTTTAGCAGGCCAGTGCTCAAACCACTGAGCTATCCCTCCCCCCAGTAAAACCAGCCCTGAAGAAAGCCTTAAATGGACTGAAGCTGGGAGCTTTATTTCCCTTTCCTGGCTGGTTAAAGCACCTATTGGTTTACACCCAGCTTCAAGGAAACCTGGCTCGAGGAGGAAGTACAGTTGTGTGGCTGAAGCTGCTGGCGGAGACTTGGGTCCCATTCCCAGCATCACAGCTCGCTCTGTAACCTTGGACAAGTCCCTTATCTTCCCCGTGCCTCTGTTTTCCCCATCTGTAAAATGGGGGTGACACTTACTGCCTACCCAGCGGTGCCAGGCTCAGCTGGCGGGAGACCTGCACAGGGATGGTGCTAGAGATAAGCACAGGGTCATTATGGGGTCTGCCTGGTTTCAGTGTGAGCGGGAAGAAGTCTCGAGACTTCAGCTGAGTCGGGCATTAAGCTCAGCGCTGTTCGAAACGGAAACTTGAAGCCAAATGCAGGGGATGGGTGTCAATCCCATGCACCTCAGCGCTGCTAGACCCCCCGTAAATGCAGCTGACTTTCACTGCTCTGCCCCATCTGCTTTGCTGGCAGACAGGGGCTTTGGTTGGATCGTTGAGCTGGGGTCAGCAGCGAGGGGGCCCCTCATCGCCCGCTATCTAAGCCTATGGCCGCCCTCCGTGATCAATAGATTTTTTTTCCTCCTCCTCCTCCTCCAGGGAAACGTGGTCCTGTGGAAACCCAGCGACGCCGCCATGCTGTCCAACTTCACCATCTACAGAATCCTCCTGGAAGCTGGTCTCCCTCCAAACGTCATTCAGTTTGTCCCGGCTGACGGAGCTGTCTTTGGAGACACGGTCACAAGCTCTGAGCATTTCTGCGGGCTCAACTTCACGGGCAGCGTGCCGTAAGCGGGCAAGGGTCGGCGCTTCGGAGAGGTGGTTGGGTCGGGCAGGGTGGGGTCATGCTGCTGCAGCCGCAGTACCTGCTCAGGTGTGATGCAGCCACGTACCAGTGTTTTGCAGGCACTGGAGGTTACTTCAGGACTGGTTAATGTCCTGCAAGCAAGGTCAGGATAGAAAGGAAAAAGATTAGCCCTAAGTGGGCCCCATTGTCATCTCCTCCCTGCTCCCCATTTTCTCTGACGGTGTACAAACAACGTACTCTTGACGCATTATGGCAGCTGTGGAATGATGTTAATTTCCAGGGCATAATGAAACCTACGTGGACGTTACCAAAGCCCCCGCTTCTCTAGACTCCGAAGACTGTAAATACCTTGCTGTGGGGACTTCCTGCAGGGCTGCTGGGAGACAAATCCAGATTCCCATTTACACTGTGACCAATGGACAGGGCCCCAGTTAAAAGCGGTGGTGTAGATGGGACCTAACCGAGTCCGTGCGGCAAACTTAAAACTCTGGCGTATCCACCGTTCTTTCCCTACAGGGACTGTGTCTAGCTAAACCCAGGGTTGTGAGTTCAATCCTGGAGGAGGCCACTTAGGGATCTGGGGCAAAAATCAGTACTTGGTCCTGCTAGTGAAGGCAGGGGGCTGGACTCTATGACCTTTCGGGGTCCTTTCCAGTTCTATGAGATAGGTATATCTCCATGTGTTATTGGGAGGGATAGCTCTGTGGTTTGAGCATTGTCCTGCTAAACCCAGGGTTGTGAGTTCAGTCCTTGAGGGGGCCACTTAGGGATCTGGGGCAAAAAAAATAGTTGGGGATTGGTCCTGCTTTGAGCAGGGGGTTGGGCTAGATGACCTCCTGAGGTCCCTTCCAACCCTGATATTCTATATCAACCCTAACCTCTAATAGGGAGCCAGGAGTTCAGATTCCTGATCTCATTCTGTGTCAGGGATTCTGGACAAGTTTCTCAAGAGAGGCACAGAGAGAGGTTAACCCTCATCTGCAAATTGGGGGTGATATTTCCTTGTCTCGCAGGGACACCAGAACTTCCATTAATTGCTCACAAAGCCTTTGGAGAGCTCCTTAGGAGAGCGATGCTGTAGGAAAGGGATGTGGTGTTTGTTTCACATTTGCCCTGCCGACAGGCGTTAAAGGGATGTGAATTAGCCACGTGAAGGACTCCACAACCTGATAAAGGGCATGGTGCAGGTGCTCCCTTTGTCCATGTAGATTTGCAAACTCCCACTCGTCTCCCAGCACTTCAGGGTGAGTTATTCCCGCGAAGGGCTCTGCTAGCCCTGCCCGAAGCGCCGCTCCCAAAGATGAGAGACTATTAAAATCCGGGGCCCCCGCTAACCAGCCGAATGACATGGTCTGATGAGCGTTGGGCTTTAAAGGTGGGAAGCTCATAAATTAGTATTAGTGGCTCTCTCTCCTGGTGGGAGCGTATTAGCATTTTTATTGTTTTGCAGCTCAGGGGTTTGTCACAGTCAGAACCAAAAAAGAAGGAGGGAAAGAAAAGAACTGGAAGCCCCTGCCAGACTCTTTCTATTTCTCCTTTATTCTCTTCTGTGCCACTTTTCTCTCCCCTCTTTCACGATCTCTCCATCTCTGCCTTTTCGGTAGTGCCCATCACCTTGGTGTCTAGGCCCTGGTTCTCAGGTTGTCTCCCCTCCTCTCTCAAGGTTTGAGCCAACGCCTGTTGAAGTCGATGGGAGTGGTTTCCATTGGCTTCGGTGGGCGCTGGATCAGGCCTCTTGGCGGGAATGGGGAGGTGAAGTTTCTTTAGCTCGTGCACCTGGGGCTTTAGGATAATCTCCAATCTTCCTGGGGCCTGAGAGCCGGCGCCTGGTTCCACAGCTCTCGAGATGCTCGCTCCAGTGTGCGCCGAGTAACCGCGGTGTGGTGCCAGGGTCTCACTCTCTTCTGCCTTTCAGAACCTTCAAGCACCTTTGGAAGCAGGTGTCGGAGAACCTGGATCGATACCGCACCTTTCCGCGCCTGGCAGGAGGTAATGCCCAGACTTAGCTCTCGGGGGGACAAAGAGCCACGTGGGCCATGCCAGCGGCAGGGGAACTCCTCAGCAGGAATTGAGCAGCTACTGGGCAGCGTCTGTGGCCAGCTTGCTGTTCACTTCCATGGCTGTGTTGTATTTCCTACCAAACACGTGCACTGAAATAAAACAGGTGTCTGGAGAGAGAGCTGGGGAGGCGTGGGCTCCAGTGGGTGCACCAGGGAATTGTGAGTTAGGGCTCCTGGGTTCTTTTCCCAGCTCTTGGAGGCACTGTGGTTTACTGTTCAGAGCAGAGGCCTGAAAGCCAGGACTCCTGGGTTCTAGTCTCAGGGCTCTGCGAGAGCCTTGCTGGGTGGGACACTTCCTTTAACTGCTCTGTGCTATGCTGAGCTTTAAGTTGGGGCCAGTCACGCTTCAGTGCTCAGAGGTTAGGGGAGGGCAGAGGGTGGTGATGTGGACACCACAGGGGCCTGCGCTCAGGTCCCAGGCACTGCAGGGCAGAGTCCTCTGTGCCCAGCGATGCAGAGTGGTGTGGGGCTGTACAGGTCTGTCTCCTACACGCTGACTCAGTTGAGACCCCATGGATGTTTTCCTTCCCCTGTTCAGGTTAGCTATGGCCTAGCTGCCACCCAGTATTCCCCCGGCCGTCCTATTCCAGAGTGCATCCTTAGCGGAGCGTGCTCTGCCCCGGCTGAGCTGAACGGGCCGAGGTATTTAGGGAACCTGGTGCCGTTTTGAGATCAGCTTGGGGAGGCCTCTTGCAGTGAACCTCCTGGGAAGAGCAGCTGGCACCAGCGAGCCTGGGGCAGAAATGGTTGGGCCTGCTCCTCTCTCTGCTCACTCATAGGAGCCTAGGGCAGATGCTGTACTCCCATATAAACCCATTGCTCCCCTCCTGCTAATGGGGCAATGGTCCCTTTGCTTTGTACCTAGTGAGGGAGAAAGGGAAGAGACGGGGTGAACCCAAAGGATTGCAAGGCTGGAGGGAAGGCTAGGACGAAGGGAACAAGGTTCAGACTCCAGTTCTGTCACTGACCTGCAGGGTGACCTAGTGTGAGTCACTGCCTCAGTTTCCCCAGCTGCAAAATGGGTTTCATAATTCTGACCCTCCTCACAGGGCCGCTGGGAGAGACTTGGCTGGAGCTGCTGGAGCAGAGCTAGGCAGGTGGTTCCCATGTTGTTGGTATTTATCCCTCAGATGTGTCTTCGCATAGAGCCAGCCCTGCGTCCCAACGAGCATGGGGCAGGGTAATTCAGACAGGTGAGCGGGTAGGCAGACACCTGGCCTGGCTGCTGAGGGTGCGGTGTCTGCTGCCCGCAGCTCGAGTGTTACGCGGGACTGTACAGGAAGCCAGCTGGGGCTGGCTGTAAGTTGCTTGTCGGGAAGCCACGAGGCAGTGACGGGATGGGTCGGTCTGTGTGTCTCCTCAGAGTGCGGCGGGAAGAACTTCCACTTCGTGCACAGCTCAGCCGACGTGCCCAGCGTGGTGAACGGGACCCTGCGCTCGGCCTTCGAGTACAGCGGCCAGAAATGCTCGGCCTGCTCCCGCCTCTATGCCCCCGACTCGCTGTGGCCCCAGATCAAAGCGAAACTGTTGGAGGAGCACGGGAAGATCAAAGTGGGAGACGTGAGTGGAGCTGCTGGGCTTTGCGGCTCAGCGGGTGGCTGATGGGATTAGAGGCTGCAGTAGCCGGCTGCTAATTCCTATTGAACCGAGCTTTTTATCCACTGGTTCTTCCCCCCTCATCTTTTTAGTGATTAGAAATTAACTTGTAGCCAGCGCTGCGGAGGAACGATTGTGAGGAACTGTTAACGCCACAGCGTAATTGAAAAAGGCCGGCTGCTCCCTCTTAGGGGTGTGGGGATGTGCGATATTAAAGAAGGGACAGGTGTCACTCGGGGGATTTAGATTCTCTTTCTTCCTCCTCCTGCCTTCCGAGCTACCTGCCTGGCGCTCCGAGGCAGCTGATGGCCTGTGGAGCGAAGCAGCCTGCTCACTCTTTCACCAGCTCCCCTTCTTCCTTCCGCAGCCTGCCCAGGATTTCGCGACGTTCTTCTCGGCTGTGATCGATGACAAGGTAAGACCAGTCCCCTGCCCCAGTCCCCTTGCTGGCTTGAGTCCCTCCAGAGGGCGGGCCCTGGCTGCTACGGGGAGGCTCTGGCATGCAGGTGGGCCTTTTGGCCTATGTGCCATTGCTCCCCGTTGCCCCTTTGGCTTGCCTACCTGTGATCTCCTAAGCCAGCTTTCTTGCTGCTCCCCTAGAGGCCTCGCGTGGTTTCCCCAAGCCAGCCAAACCCTCCTGGGGATTGATTATCCCTTCTCCCTTGCCCTGGGCCTCGTCAGGGGCTGCACTTCCTCCCCTTTCGTCGTTCCAGACGCAGCTGAGCTGGCAAGTGCTGTCTTAAGTGTGTTTTCCTAGCTTGTGGGCAGGCAGCTGGCAATACAGGTGGCTTTTTGGCTGCAAATCCCTCTCAGCCACTTCCCTTGCAGAGAAGGGGGCCTCTGCGGCACAGGGCCTGCCCTTGCTGTAAAGGCTTTGTGCAGCCCCTTGCCTGTCTCCCTACTCTGTCCTTGCCCCATGGCGTGGCCAGAGTACTAGCCATCTGAGACTGCAGTTGCTCATCTTCATACAGAGGTGTGGCTGGCTATGCGACAGGTCCCAGCGTGCAATGCTCCCCTTTGCTAGCAGTCCTTGGGTCTGTGTCTTCCGTTGGCCGTCTCTGCAGGGCCAGCTGCAGTGTGCAAAGTGTACACGGCTTTGGGTTTCTAGCCAAGTCTGGACACCCCCGGCCTTACTGCACGTGCACCTGTCTGGGACTGCCGTCCTCAGGGACAGTCGTCATGATCTTGCCCAGAAGGGGCCTAAGATTCTAAGTGCAGGGAGGCTCACGGGGCATCTTCCCGGAAGCAAACCCCGGGGCGTGCAGCGAGATGCGGACCCAGCGCTGCCTTCTAGGCAGCATTCCCGCGAGTGGCTTCACGTGCTGCAATAGCGTGTCTGCCGCTGCTGGATCCTACCGGCTCCAGAGCTAGCGGCGCCGACGGGCAATGCCCTCTTTCAGACTCCTCCTCGCACTCTGGTTTTCAGTCTTTTGCACGTATTAAGAAGTGGCTCCAACACGCCAAGACGTCGCCCAACCTCAGCATCCTGGCGGGGGGGACGTGTGATGACACCGTTGGGTATTTTGTCGAGCCGTGTATCGTGGAGAGCAAAGACCCAAAGGACCCCATCATGGAAGAGGTGAGTATCCCTTTTCTCTCCTGCGGGGATCGAGGTTGAATTGACCGCGAGAAGAGCATGAAGAATAGCCATTGCAGAAGCACAGATCTTTGAGAGAGAGAGAGAGAAATCTGGCCATCTAAGCCAGAGATTCCCATCCTCTAGGACTGATCCCATAGGACTCCCTCCCCTTAACGAGTAACCTGCACTGCTCCTCAGTGCGTCTGTTGCTGCCTCCTGCCTAGACTGTAGCCCTCCCGTTGGCCTTGAGGTGCTCTCAAGACTGGGCCTCAGAGCAGTGCAAGCTCCGTGATGAGCGTGCAGTTAAATAGGAGGCCACCGGCGCAGCGCGGTAACTGGGGCAGGATTGTTCCCCACGCTGTCTTTCCCAGTGCCTTAGCTGCTCGAGTGATGGGGCATCCACGGGTTCCGGGAGGGGCTGGTTGTATAGGCTAGGAAGCCCTTCCTGATCGCAAGCTGAGTGTCATTCCACCACCACTCTTGGCTCACCCTAGTGATGGCCGGAAACCACAGCAAACAAAGACAAGGGCTGTGCCTTTGTGAAAGGCCAGCTGGGCGGGCTCCTCTAAAGCTCCTAAAACTAGAGCCCATTGAACTAAAGGAGAAGCAGCAGACTCATCACGGGCCTGGGGTTAGGGCTGGCTGCTGTCGCGCCTAGCGTTCCTCTCCCACACGCTGCCGCTCACTAATGAAGCTCAGAAGCGGGGGCTTACCGGAGGGCCTTTTGGGGTATGTCTACCCCGCGAAGAGACCCCTGCGGCTGGCCAGTGCCAGATGACTCAGACTGTTGGGGCTCCGGCTGTTTCATTGCGGTGAAGACTTCCAGCCTCCGGCTGAGCCTGGACTCTGGGACCCTCCCACCTCACAGGGTCCTAGAGTCCTGGCTCCAGCCCAAGCCCAGACGTCTACACAGCAACGAAACAGCCCCACAGCCGGAGCCCTGCAAGCCCGAGTTGGCTGTGTCTAACTGCTGTGTAGACATAGCCTTTGACAGCCAGCGCTGCAGTGTATGTGCAGCTGTTTCTTTTCTCCATCCTCTGCAGACTTATAATTATTTACTGAGCCAGAATAGCTCTGATCCCTCAGCTCAGGGCTGAAGGGGATGGAAGTGGGTAGGGGAATGGCTGTAACGAACATTCATCCATCCAGCTTGGGAAGGACGGGGCGTTGTATGGGTGGGAGTCTGGCCCAAGTACAGGACCCTAAACACCTTAGATAACAATGAAGGCACACTGCTGTCCTTGGCAGGAACGGGCGGGAACTGCCTGCCAAGCAAATACTACACTTGGGCTGGGAGATGGTGCTCTGCCTTCCCCCCAGAGTCCTTCCCTGCAGGAGTTGATTGTGCTCCTCCTGCTTTCACGGTGCTGGTCACTTGTCCTGTTTCACACCGGCGATTTGTTCAAGCAGCAGGCGCTGCCGTCAATAACAAGCAGCGATTGTGGGCCACGCTCGCAGGCATGCAGACTCGGCTGCTCCTGCCCTGACAGCCTTTGTTTTGCTTTGCAGGAAATTTTTGGCCCAGTCCTGACTGTCTATGTCTATCCAGAAAAGCAGTACAAGGAAATCCTACAGCTCATAGACACCACATCCCCCTATGGCCTCACGGGGGCAGTGTTCGCCCAGGATAAGTAAGTGCCTGAATTCTCACCCCTCTAGCAGTGTGCGCTAATAGCTCATTCTCCGCTCTCTTTCTTTCCAGGGTGCACTAGGGGGGCGAATAATTTTAACCCTTCGGTTTCTGTCATGCAGAACCAGCATGTGTATTACCTCCATTTTCATCACTGTCTTCTGCTAGAAGGAAGTCCTGGGCCAATGGCCCCTCACCCCTTCATGGGTAGGGCTTTGCCCAGCATGGGCCGAGTAGTGATTTAGGGCAGGGAGGCTCCTTGTCTGAGCCCCTTGCCCCTTTTCCCTAGAGGCTCTGAAGGGTAGTTCAGGGGGTTTCCCTCAAGACAACACTCCTATGTCCTACCAGCCCCAGATGGCTCGTTAGGGCTGCCCCATGGCCATCAAAGGTGGTGAACTTTAAGTGGTGCAACTCTCTGGGACTGAATGGTACAGGGGATGGGTTTGGAGCAATGCCACATTTCACATCTGGGGTTGAGCCTAGCCTAGGGCAGCAGTAACTAAGCGCTGACCAGCTATGTTGTTGTCTGCTTCAGCACGGAGGCCAGGGATTGACTGGGCTCTGCAGAGTACCCCAGGAATGCTGAATCTTCTAGGCCAGAGCAATATTGGTAGGGTGGGTTGCTTTGCTGGGGATAGATGTTGGGCTGGGCCATCTGGCCAGCACTATGTTCTCTTGCACACGGTCTGAGGCCAGGAGGCCCACAGCAGATTGAAAGGACGATGACCTGAGCGTGTCCTCCTCCGCTGTGTCACCGCTCCCCCCATCTCTCCTAGGCACGTCATCCAGGAAGCGAGGACGCTTCTGAGGAATGCAGCTGGCAACTTCTACATTAACGATAAGTCGACAGGCGCAATTGTGGCCCAGCAGCCATTTGGGGGCGCTCGTGCCTCAGGTGAGAGGGGAATAGCTGTCAGCTGATCCATACACAGTGGGGTGTGAATGTTCCTCTCTGGGAACTAGAGCCAGGCGCTGGGAGTGAGCAGGCCTAGGTTCTACTCCTGGCTCTGTGCCGCCATCTCCTCAGCTGTGGGATGGGGATCTCTCTATGGAACCTCCTGCAGGGCCAAGACTGGAGTCTGCTCCCTACTGGGGAACGACTCCTTCTTCCCGTAAAGAGCCTTTCCTGGCTTTCCTACAGGAACCAACGACAAACCAGGCAGTCCCTTCTACCTCCTGCGCTGGACGTCTCCCCAGGCCATCAAGGAGACCCACGTGCCGCTCGGAGACTGGCAGTACGCGTACATGCAATGATCACGGCCCAGTGCCTTCCATGCTGAGAGAACGCCCTCTTACTACTGACTCCCAACGCAGAGCGGAGTTGCCGATCTCATGTCCAAGCTACGGCTCTAATAGTATTTAAAGCATTTTGTTTTTTCAAACAAAATTTAACAGACTGTTACCCAGCAACAAGAGCAACCCTTGTGATTTCTCAAGCCCGATGTAGAAGATTAGTCTAAAGCAGGGTTCTTCTGTAGGCTGCAGTTTGTTCACGGTCCTCTAGCAGGAGGAGGCCGCTCATCAAGGTACCTTAGAACAGGAATGCAGCAGCAAGAACCACAGGCCTGCGAGGCAGTAGAGGAGAAACGTTCTGGCAAGAATGAGATAACGGGGGTTCATGCTGATCTGTGCTGAACAAATCCATGAAGCTTGCCCTCCCACTCCACGTCCCATAGAATCATAGAGGAACATGCCCGTGGAGATGTTCTTGTCCATTTCTCCCCATACATTTGGTCTATGCATGATTGTGGTTTTCCATCTCGATCTCAGGGACTGAGTGTCTCCTGCTGCAGGTAGGAAGCCGGTGCCTAGTCTGCCATTGGAGAGGGAACAAATCATGTTCTTTAAAGGGCTTGGCCATACGAACGCTTATTTCTCCGCAAGCTGCGGTGTAAATCTACCCTGCTGGGCACTAAATGTCTATGTGGACCTTGCTGTTGCCTGCTAAAAATTCCCTACTGTGCTTTAATCTACTCCAAGTGGGGGTAGATCTAAGCTCCGTAGGAAAGTTTTAGTGCATGGTAGATTTACATCCCAGCTTGCCATAAGCTAAGTGTTTGTGTGGACAAGCTGTATGTTTTCTCAAACACGGTAGGTGATAAAATGCCTTGCATTAACACTTCTGCTGTAAAACCTTTGCAGAGTTTAGAGGGAAGAGGCATTTAGGGAAAGTAATGCATGAAAACAGCAACTGAGTTGAGACTGGGCAGAGCCCTTGTCTTCCACCTCTGTCCATCCTTTTTTAAAAGCAACCTGTACCACCCATGTCCCTCTCTGCCAGAATTGGGACCAATTTTGCTTTCTCCCCC